ATTGATTTGTGAATTTTTAACAACTAAAAGCAAAAGAAAGTAAGAAAAATTCAACATTTTTTTAAATCCTCTCAATTTTTCATTTAAAAGTAATAATGCAAGTCTTTTTTTTTTTTCTTGAATTGAGTGCTTAAACCTATCTTGATGTAACTTATACTTGTAATTACTTGATAGGATTTTTATATAAAGGCATAAGAATTTGAAAGAATCTATTAGTACTTTATATATCAAAATTGTAACAAAAATAAAATAAAATTATACTCTTATTTGTAATTCATCTTCTTTAATTAGATAATATTTATATTCATTATTTGTATCATGTTGGACATGAACTACACATGCAACTTTAAATATTTCATAGAATGATTATCAACAATTCGAAGTTTTTAAAATGATATGGCTCCTTTAACTATTATTAGAAGTATTTAGAGGAAGTATTATTTTTTTCCTAAGAGACAAATAAAATATAATTAACCGACTATAGTATCTTATTAATTTTTTTTTGTAACTTGTACTTGTTATCCTATATAAATTATATTAAAAAATATCCATGGAGTACTTCTTGGTCTTTTAATATCACTTTATTTGTCTAAAATATTCAATCAATGTTTTTTTTTTTGTGTCTTAGAATTTAAAATTTATCAATTATTTATATTCATATTAATTGTTGATTTGATAAGTAGACATATAATTGTATAACAGATAGGAATTTGCTATGTATTCTAAAAATATTTAAGTACTATATTGCTTCAAATGCAAAGCCAAAGAGAGCATTAAGATATTGTTCAATTTCATCACAATTCTTAAGAATAATAGTGATACCATTAGAATTATTTCATATGTATTGAAGAAAAATACTTAATTATAAGAAAAAAAAAATGTATTTAAGAGAAGAAAGAAATTAATAAAGATATACAAAAAAATAAAGCTAGATCCAAAATGTTATATATTGTATTCAAAAATGACTATTTGTTTGACTTGCACATTAATGATTACATTATATTTTATAATCAAATAAAAATTATGTAGCATAATTTAATGATTGCTTATCCTATGCTTTTTGGATCTTCAAAAAAAACAACTATCATTGCATTGTTATTATATTAGATATCTATTTTCATTATACTATATTTTTATATTGAAATCATAAGAAAATACTTTATGTACTTTATATTTTCTATACAAAGGGAATTTAGATTATTAACATTGCAAGGGCTTTAAATTAAACAACCAATTCATTTTGTATGTTTTAAGATGTTTATTCAAGTTTAAAAACTTAAAATAAACCATCAAGTTGTATTCCTCTAAAACATACATCTTGTATGTCTCTTTTATAATGATAAAAATATGTACATGTAACTAACTATTTTTTTGAAATTTGATCATCTAAAATTTTAGAACATCAAATCTAAGAATCTTATAATAAATCTATATTAAAATCTTAGTTACAAAATTTGACCCTTATTTTGCAACATACATGAAAACTCTCACACCTACTAATAAAGATTTGGACATATTGGAATTATGGATTTTTATTTGATTAGTAAAACCTTTCATTAAACTACAAAAAAAAAAAAATCAAGATTACAAGAAATCTAGTCTTTTTAAAGATTATATTTTTTTTAATAATAATAATCCTAAAATAATTGGATTAGAAGGAGATTTAATTACATTAAATGTTAATAAGCTATTATGACCACAAATTACTACATTTAAAGGAAAAATTTCATAGGAGACATCTCCAAATGATGATGAACGACCATCTATTATTTTTAAATGTACACATTTGGTTTTTTTAATAAGAAATATTTCTTATTTTTTAACAAAGTCTTTGTCTATAAAACAAGTTGAGGTTCTCGACTCTAAGGGTAAGACATTGTGATTTCTATTGTATTTATATTGTAAAAGAAGGTGAAGGATCTGAAAAGAGGATAAAACCTTTACTAAGTATTGTACAAGATTTCAGCTGTATGATCCTTATTATAGCTAAAAAAATTGGTTTTTCTATACATTGTCTTCTTTGGCAACTATGCTCCTCGTTTTGTGGTTGCATTATTTTTTTAGACAATATTGAGCAATGTGCTTAGATTTTCCTTAATACAAAGATAACCCTTCTTGATGGTATCAAATCTTTTCTTGATTAGTAAGAATTTTGAAACTTACCATATCAATTTGCATAGGTTTCGATCTTGATGAATAAACTTTTGTAAACTTAGAAGTTGTTGCTATTACTTGATTTATATCTCTCCAACTAAATCTTTGTTCTTGGTATCTTTCAAAGAGTTGATTATTGTATGCAATGGTTTGAATAATAAATTAACGATGCTACTCTTAGCATCATTAATAGTAAATTTTTTATTTTATCTTTTAATTCATTTCAAAATTGATTGATAAGGGCCTTGTCATTTCAATCTATGTAAGAAGCAAGGTTTTGGAATTCAATAGCATATATGGTGGTTGAATGTGATTCTTGTTATAAAGAGATGAATTTGATTTCTACTACCCTTTTTTAATTACTTTCTCAAAATATAGCCATAAAGACTTCTAAGAATGAATTTAAATCATAGATTAGTCATGAATTCTTTTCCATCAAAGGTGCAAACCAAGAAAGAACATTCATAGAAAGAAGTGCATCTATAAATCCAACTTGAGTAAATCTATCAAAGTAATGAGAATGATGCAATCTTAGATTAAGCTTTATTTATTGTAGAAATCCTCAAAACTTTGATCTTATTCCATCAAACTTCTTAGACATACTTATCATTTCTTCCTTTACACTTATAGTAGCAAGACTTTTTAGATTTAGTTGTAAACTTGATCTACTTACTTCTCTCAATTGCACAACTTCTTGGCATAGAATTTGAACTATATTGTTGACTTCTTCCATAGACATTGGAATATTATCTCTATGATTGACATTAGAGATGTGTGGGATTTCTACCCTAAAAGTGTCAACAAGCTCATAAAGATTTACAATGGTTACAAATCTATTCTACCTTTTGCCAAGAGTAGCATCCATAATTTTTTTTTTATAGACAAAAAAAAATTTATAAGTCAAATTAGAAAAGGATAATCTGTAATTTCTAATATCAATTGAAAAATTTCCAAAAAGAGGGATAGTCCACTCTCTTTAAGAAAAAAATCATTATGATGGAGCTAAAATATTAGATTAAAGGTAGGTAGTCTGCAACCTTCAAAATATAACAATAGAAGTGAGGTAGTTTATTCACTTCTGAAAATAAGACAAGAATAATGAATTAGCATTCTTGTCAAATTGTCAAAAGTACGAATCTTGAAGAACCAAAAACTCAACATACTTTTATATAACTCAAAATGAATAGATATTCACTCAAAACTAATATAGTATTGAAACAAGAATAGCTATTACCAAAAACAAGAAGATTAGAAAGTCTTGAAACTAGACTAAGGACTAAAAAGACATTAAAAAGAGTGAAAAAGGCTTCACTTTTGCCTCCATATACACTATCTAAGTAGAAGTTGCATGATGATATTCTATAGGACCTCTAACACATGTCTAATTTGCAAGATATATGTTTTAACTTGCAAGGCAAGTTTCCTATATGTGCACCACATCTTTAGCTTGTACCACGAGCTATCAATATGTGCAACAAGTACTAATAGCTTTGTGAAACTTGTTCCTAGAAGAAAGGATAATATCACAGACTTACATATTTACCTAAATAAGAAGTTTTAAAAAAAAATTAAAGATAAATAGATTTGATATTATGTAGTGGCAAAGCTTTTTAATAGCTTTGTGGGCATGTATTTGACTTTAAATGTGTTTATAGTTGATTGGTAGATTAGAAACTTGGCCAAGAAGTTTTTCATAGATCTTAAGTACTAATAGCTTGAAAAACAAGCTAATTATGTGGTACACATATAAAAATTTTATCTTATAAGTTAGACACATGTTTTGCAAGTTGGACACATGTTGTAGGTCTTACAAAACATCACTATGTAGCTTCTAGTTAGATAATATATATGGAGGCAAAAGTGAAACCTTCTTCACTCTTATCAATGTCTTTCTAGTCCTTAGTCTTGTTTCAAGACTTTCTAATCTTTTTGTCTTTAGCAATAGCCATTTTAATATTAATACTATATTAATTTTGAGTAAATATCTATTCATTTTGAATTACATAAAAGTGTGTTGAGTTTTTGGTTCTTCAAGATTCATGTCCTTAACAAAGAGTCATTCTTCCATTGGCACACCACATATTAAACGACAGATTTATTTGCAAAGTACTAAATACACATATCTTTATTTAATAAAAGATTCAACAATGGCTGCACGAATTGGTGGTCTTGCCAATTGATTGACAAAGATTACCTATTTATTTATTGAACCGACAATGTATATGAAGAATGTCGTATATTATATTCCAAAATTCACCTATAATTCTTATTTATATTGTGCCCTTGTGTAAGATTTGCAACATATAATAGCTTGCATAAGGTCTATTTCAAAAACTTATGCACATTGTATCTCATTTGCAACAATATGTTGCATACCCTCATATGCAACATGCAAAAATCTTACGTTCTTGCTAAGACAATGTGTATGCCACATGTTATTCTTTAACTACTTGTTCTAATATTATTCAATGTTTCTATGGTTAAAAATTAAAAAAAACAATGAGTTTTTTAACATAATATCAAGGAAGATTTCACTCCCTATGCATTTAAAGCATGTAAATGTAAAATTACAATTGAATTACATACCTAAAACCAACTCAATTTGCAACATCTTCATCCTAAAGTGTTTTATTAGAGAAAGACAATTATAATATATTATAAATTATTAAAACTTTAAACTCGTTTTCCTCTTGTTCATTCATTTTCTTATAAATATATATTCTTATCAATAAAAACTACAGCAAAATTATTCCAATATATACATCTGTAATTCCTGCAACCAATAAGATCTACATTTAGCTAAACCCTGGTCACCCTCATTTCAATAATGCCATTGTGTAGAATCATTATCATGGTTAAAAGGTTTGTACTATTTATTGAATGACTCCTTAACATACAAATGATGGATGGTTGGAAATACTTAGTTCCATGTTTTTTTTATTGGAATGTTTTAATATTAACTTTTTTTTTCGATTTGTGGTCCTGAAGCACCAAGACTCTCATGTTGTAAACAAATGATTTATAGGTTTTCGAATGATGTGTGGTGGGCTTCCCACGAAGACTTTCGTCATCGCCAAAACAATCCCCTGTTTTCAAACGGTTATCGTTGTTTGAATTTGTCACTGCTCGATTCGTCTCGTTGCTTAAGATCGCGCAATGAGCAGACAGCTGGTTTGGGTAATTCCCTTGTGTAGAGATCCGAACATTCGTGGTGTACAAGGCACAGCAGTAAGAGTTAACCCTATTTCTGATTGCGAGCTCTTGTTCAAACCATGGATCATCAAATCCTGCTCTGCCCTCGCAATCACGAGGCAAGATGCAGAAGGGCTTGAAGGAAATCACGTCTGTAGCACACGAGAATTCATTCGAGAAGGTTTGGATTGTGAACAGCTCGCGCGTCACTCGCCGGTCGATGTGTAGCCGCTGCGACCTGAATTCCGGAGGCCGGTTGGGGAAGCGCCGCAACGACAAGGTAGGATTAGGGCGAGATCGAAAACCACCTTTCTTCGCTTGGAATAATCTAAATGACCTGTCCTATAAAAAAAAATCCTAAGATTAATTTTAGAATTTTCAAATCTAAAGGTAAAAAGGATACCACCCTACAAGTAAATAGTAGAATCAATTGACAATACAAATATTTACAGAAAAGAGTGTACATGAAGATATAACGTAACTATAAAAAGGAAATAAAACCCCACATGACGATTACTGTTAATACGATGACCCGAGACGTAGTAGGTAGTACGAATACTTACTACCACGGAAAGTTCCAGATGAAACCAGTTTGTCCGTCATGTGTATCACGAGTTTTCTGTTTTTTTCTTTGGTTTATTCTTAAAAATAAAATTCCAACATGCCCCTGTTGTGAATTAAACTCTTGAGGCGTCCTTGTTCCACACATCACAAGGAACAAGACAGCCCTTATTACAATGGATATGCACAGGCATATGATGAACCGTAGGTAAAAGTGTTGATCTGCACAAACGGTGTCATGACATAAGCCGCACAACCTTTGGCTAAATGTTAGCCACTAAATTCATCTGTCTGCTGGAGACACTCCGTCACTTACTAGGCCCCTCCGTCAGAACAATGCATTGGCGTGGTTCAACATGAAAAGTTTCCCTGTGCCTTAGTACTAATAGCACAAATTGCGTCGTAGGGCACAAAAAAGAAACCAAGAGGACAAAAACCTTGCCATATTGAAGTGATTTATAACAGATCCTAACAAAAAAACGAATCATAAATTTCAAACAGCAGGCACAATCTAAAGACTGCAGCCAGAGATGAAGTACAACGTGCTTTGTGATATCCCTTACCAATGGTACGCCGGCCATAGAAAAGCCATGAACTTCGAGCAGTTCGGTGCAAATACCAGCACAGCATTACCGAACCATACAAGTGCCATGAAAAGAAAAACCTCGTCAAATGAACCGGTTCATGGTTATTCTCGCTATCTATGTACAAGTTCAAAGCCAAAAGCCACACCAGCCATCTGGAGAATGTGCTGTATCGGAGATTCCGGAATAAGTTACAGCATGAAACTTGGAGTGGACAACTGAAGATTCGACACTTACCTCTATGCAAGAAGAAGAAACATCATACATAGTCAACGACCAAGATAAAATATAGCAACATTAATTCAGGTGTTGCGTTACAATTCCGTCGCAGAGTGCGAGCAAGTAAAAAATTATTAAACACTTCAATAAATTTAAACATAGTTACTGGCGAAGAGAAAAGAAAAAAGAACCATAACAGTGTAAGTTACCAGCAGGTATACAGAAAAACATAGCAGCGACTAGGCGAGACCCCACATGTCCACATGAAACTTCAAGAAAGATTTCACGGAGGTATGCCAAAAAAGATGAGAAACTAAATAAAAAGCAGCAAGCAATACTGGAGCTTTTCATACCTACTTTATTTTAGAGGAAACAAGTATGTTGACAGCAGCTGGGTTGTCATGATTTCACTTGCTTCCTATGATGTGTCAGATGCTTTGCTGTCTGCCACTGGAAGAAACGCCTTAAAATTACTACCAGATACGACAGTCTCCACCCGATTCTCAGCTCCCACAGCAGTCCAAACAGAGCTTCGTGGAGCACTCCCAGAATCGTCTACCTTCACCATCTTTGGAAGCCAAAGTGAACTCTCCACCCTATCTAGGTCTGGCCGATCTCGTGGGTGTTTATTCAGCACCGGACGAATAGGTAACCTGCTCTGAACAGGGGGAAAGCCGCTTCCAGACATAGGAGCTGAAGCAGTCTGAAAGGAAGCCGATGCTGATGCTGCCGCAGCAGCTGCTGCTGCGTCCGGGCCCCAAGGTATGGGCCAACCCCCACCCCATCCAGGCGACATCCAAGGCGGCCCAGGCATCCCCGTGGGCATCCCTGGAATGAGAGTTGATCCCCAGCAGATTCCTGACCAAATACCATTCGGAGGTGACGACCATGTAACTGCAGGCTGGCAGGAAACTAAGGTGCCTCCAGGCGGACAAATTGGAGGGCCTGGGGCGCCTGGGGCTGGACCACTCCACCCAACGTTGTAGCCATAAGGCCACGAACCATTGAAAAGTCCAAAAGGAGAGGGCGCCGCAGTCCAGACTGACCCGTCCAAAATTCCTACTGGTCGAACAACACCCCCACAAACAGGAATAAGTGTCGTGGGAGGACCTCTCAGCATCGATTGCGCTTCTTGAGTAGGCGGTGTTACATTCGTTCGAGAAGGAGAACCAGTTGCCGAACTTGTACAGGCCTCCACGCAGTCATCCTTCTCAGCCTCACAAGCTAATACAGGTTCGCAACCGTCGCTGTGTTCAGCATGGAGCAACCTGTTCCCAGAATCACTAGCAATATTCACCTGAGATTCTGCTGAAAGAGAATACAAAATGAAACATGTCAAAGAATTGCAATACAAAAAATGAAGTGCATCCAACCTCTCGCTCCCACAAAGGAAAATCGCTGAGAAACAACTGGTAAAACATCAACGTAAACAAAGATTGACATATTCCAACCATAAGCAGCGACAACAATAAGCGAAACAAGACAAAAGAAAACTGAAAGAAATTGCTTGAGACAAGTCTGCACCAACAGGTGTGTTACCTGAAATGTAATGTCTTCTCACGGCCTCAGCAACATGCATGGACCTGGTTTGAGTAATAGCTTCAGAGGAGCCCCTCTCTTGCCTATTGAGAAGGCTATTGAGATTACTGGGACTGCTGGCATTACAGGTAAGCAGGGGAGAAACTTGGTGTGGAACAGACGATCCCCGTGAAAGACAGGGCCTCAGCTGCGCCATATCTAAGGAGTCTAGCCTTACCGCAGGAATATCAGGCACCGCTCCATGGCGTGGATGCGAGCTGCTGTGTTTGATTTTCCTTCTCCCTGCTCCCACGGGAACATTCCGTAAGATACCTCCGGCTGTCCAATATCTTTGACAATTCTTGCAGAAATGGCGTGGTTGATTGACGTTATAATTGTTGTAGTAGCAAAATTTTGTGTCTAAACTGTCGCATCTCGGACACGGAGCCAGTTTATCAGGCTTCTTCAAAGTAGGCTTCTGTTTCTGACCCTTCCCTTGCTTGGGAGACGGTACTACCGTGGCTTCATCAGCTGCCGCTGGAGGTCGGGGAGGTCCAGCTGTATCTGCATCATCCCCAGGTGCATGTGATGGAGGAGGACCGACGGTAGCGTCTTCATCTCCAACTGCCTGAGACAACGGAGGTCCATTTCTTTCTGTCGTTTCAGATGCAATTTGCACTGACGCAGATGCTCCGGAAGCTTCGTTCTTTGAATTGTTTGCCGATTTCTGTAATTAAAATAAAGATTTTCAGTATAGTTCAAAAATCATCACCCTGCCATGGACAAGCAAGAATCTCTTCAATTATTGTGACTCAAGACCATGTATCATGGTCGACAGCAAGATGTCAACCACCACATCCAGCCTGATATGGCCACCAAAGCAAAAGCACTTCTAGTAAACAACTTCACGGCATAGACGATTGAACTGAAAATAAATGCAGCACTCACCAAAGCTGAACCATCAGCAATAATCTCCACGCCCTTGGCCTTTGAATGAATGGACTCCAAGGGTACAACTTTTGCCTCTTGCCTCCCAAATGGAAGAGGTGAACATGAGCTCACATTTGCTTCATCGCCTGGTAACTCATCAGCAGCTCCGCCTTTCCCCTGTTTGACATGGGACCTGTGCCACAATTTAGGGAGCCATCATGAACTTGAAACAAATTCTTTAGGTGCTTCAAGACACACCCGCCGTAATCAACATCTTCGAGTCGGCATCTCAGATCACCATAGTTTAATGCAAAATTCATATGTTGTACTAATAAATATGTAAGTCTCGATAATAAACGCAGAAAGTGAAAGTCGGATCAAACTAACATCATCCTCATGGTTTCCTTCTTCGTCGCGCTTAATGGGATTTTCTCCAGATATGTGCGCACCCACCCCTGACGGGCCTCCTCCAAACCCTGCTACTCGCCCTTCAACATCTCTGGCGTGCAAGCTCGGCTGTAGCTCCTGCAAAAAAATACGAGTAAATTGTAGACCAATTACATTCATGTACTAAACAAAAGCATGCAGAAAACATGCTACCTCTCCATGAACATTCGGCTCTGTCGAAGCACTTCCTAGCAATAGCTTTGTCCTCTTTAATAGTTTTGACTAATAACCGAAGATTTTCCGAAGTGAGATCTGACCATGATATGAGCCGAAAGAAGTCGAGCACATGCAAATATTCGATTAAACTGAATCGGAATCCAGTAGTTACCTCTCGCCTTTCGTTTAGATTGATGTGATCTGCGAATGCCCCTTCTTTCCTATTCAGTTGTGTTCCGTGCAAGCTGTAGTCCTTCTGTGGACCCGAACCACCGTTTGCCATGTTGACATGAGCAGGTCCAGATTGGCCACGAAATCCAGCCCCTTCACCACTTGAACCCAACCCTCGCGATAAAAGAGTGGCAGATTTCAAAACCCTAGGCTTGTCCCCCCCGGTGTCTGCAGAAGAGCTATCCATTTTTCATATCCTCTTTCCCCAAGGTCTTCTGTTCGTAATTGATTGTACTAAAATTAATGCATTCTACGATGGTCCATCCTGAAACAGAATATTGCGATGGAAAGCACACAATGAGAAGTAAGAACTTGTGGCACACGTCCTATAGGCAAATAAAGAGTACTAGTAGAGGCCGATGAGAGCCCAAGTGATGAAACAGATGTTCGAAGGGGATCTGCTCACAGTTATTTCTCTTTCCCTTCTAGAGAGCGATAAGCAAAAGCCCTTACCTTAGAGAGAGACAATATGAACAAACAAAATCAGGGAGAGAAGGGCCCAAAATAAATTCATCCAGCCTCCAAATGACGCTAAAATGTCTCCACAAGGAAAGCGGTAGTGCACTGCCCTGGCCACCCCTCCCAAGGCACAACACAAACCGCCACAACTGGCTCAAAAAATTCAGACGACCTCCAAACTAGCATGCCTGAACATAACTACGGCCGCCAAGGACGACCGTTTCAAAATCAAAATCGGAGATAGGCCGCCTTTTGCAAATGCGCATAAAAACCACCGCAACTTATAACCGCAACCATTATCAGGAATATAACACTCAAATTTCACGAATCCCTTGCGCACCCTAAGAGCTCCGATCCAAATCGTCCTTTTCAGAGTACTTACAAGAAGTTGACCTTTCTCACTCGGCTACTCTGCAAAGCGCTTGATCTATCAGCACCTTGTGCTACCTTCCATCTCACAACCAAACTCCACACGCGCGTTGAATCGTAATTCCTGAGGATGAATTTTCACACCATCGTATCAAATTGCTTGGTCACATCCCCTATCATTCTCACTTACATCAACTCTTGTTGCACTCCTCTCCTTCGAATATTTCAGTTAATTCCAACGCACGATCTCGGTCCGAGTCCTACCAGCGCTGTGTGCTCTGCTGCTCTTAACTCTGCCCCGACAATTAACGTTTAACTGATCCATTACAGCGATAAGTTGCGAGGGTGTTGAAAACTGTGAAGAAGAATCCAGAGGTGAGCGAGGGGAGGGAAGGCGAGATGTGATGGGAGACGACGGCTCATCTGGCCCACATCAAGTGGCAACCCGTGACGGGACGGGGCAAGTGCATGGCTTAGAGCTCTCCCAAGAGAATTGCGTGGACCTCCGCAACCGAAGGTCACCATTTCCGATCAAGACTTGTGGTGGAACAGCGTCCTCGCTCAGTGGGCTCCGCCACCTTCCTGGCTTATGCACCTTTTCTAATCTCTCTCCGTCCGCGGTTTCGACGGCGATCCTCGTCCGAGCTGGACTCCATAGCAGGATGGAGCGATCGCCGTGCTGCTGCTTGCTGTCTGACTCATTGGCCGCGCCAAAGTCGAATTCATCGCTTTTGATTGTTAAAGCCAAAGCCAAAAGAACATCTCGACTTCATCCCCTGCGTCGTCCTTGGAAAAACACTTCCCCTCCTCTATGCGTGCTCTCATCCAAAAGCACAATCCCATCTCCATACGCCAGCCACTATTGGAACAGCTTCATCAGCCGCACAGAAATACAAACCTGCGCATTCTCGCCTTGCAGATATTCCGATGCTGCCGCACGATAACGATCCAACGCCTTAGCTGATTGCTTCCGGATTCCAGGAGGTAGACCAAAGCTTCAACCCTAAGAAAATACAAAAAGAAAAGAAAAGAAAAGGAAAAGGAAAAAAAAAAAAAAAAAAAAAAAACACACACACATACACACACACATACGAACACACAACCACAACAACCTTGGAAATTGTGGATACTGAAGTGGTTAGAATTTCAAAATGGTTGATCATATCATGTGGGCAAGAAAAGTTGTTGAGCAAAAGCGACGGCCACTTTATTTGGTCCTAGAGCTTCTTCGACTTTTTGCTTTTGCTTTTTGCAGATTCTGAAGAAATGCCGTGCCGGCCATGGTTACATGCCGGTGACCGGTGGGGTGTCTGCGTACCACCGCGTCCTCTGTCAGCCACATACACAATTTGAGGTGTTGCGGACACTTTCGTGTGTGCCAGTGTTTTTTTTGGGTCATGCAGAGTCATGGTTGGGGTGCACTGTCGTGGCATCCACATTGAATACTTCATTAAAAATTAATACTAAGTGTTGTTGAGTGTTGTGCAAATTTCTTTTTTTATTTTTTCTTTCTCATGCTGATTATATTTTTACTACACAATGTTTTGTTACTTTTAGTGATCAAACTTTCTTTGGATCATCAACAAGTTAGGGCCTCCTTCCATGCTCAATGGATGGGCAATGTTATAATTGGACTTTGCCCGAATCCCATGAGCTGTGCAGTGCAAAATCTATTCAATTTCAAAATTTGCATTTTCATGTGTAAGGGAGTGAAGCACTTTATGACCTTTCATAGGAAGGCATCTAAAGACCAAATTACTTCCTGTTGCCATCAAGAGTCCATCAATTGATTGATTTACCAATGAATTGTTCCACCCACCTTTTTTGCTCTCCAAAATTAGTGAAGGATGAGTTATCTGTTCCATTTTAGAAATTTAGGTAATAAGAAACTTTAGGTTAAACCAATAAAATGTATTTATTTCTAAAAATTAATAAAAATATATTAAATATAGCTAATATATATACTATTTTTTATTCAAAAAAATATTTTATAAAATAAATTTTGGATTGGATTTTTCTACTTATAAATTCTAAATCCACAACAACAAAAATTGAAGAATAAATTTATTTTTACAAGAATATATGCTAAAAGTTTAAAAAAAAAAATTAAAAAATATGCCAAATTGCTTATAAATTAAAAAAAATAAAAAAGTGAAAGAAATCCATTGTTTCATAATAATTAATAAATATATAAAAACAAATTGCCTAGTTTTGTATCAATTGTATTTAGAACCACTAATTTATATCAACAAAATTTCATAAAAATAAGTAATATTAAAACTAAATTAAACTTAAAATTAAAATCAAAACTAAGTTACTAATTCTGTGACTTAATGATAGGTACATATAGGCATGTGAAAATTGTTAGACGATTTGTTTGAATATATATATATATATATATATATATATAAGGAAAAGTTAAATAGATTTAAGCTTTTATTAAATTGACCTATCTATGATGAAGAATATGGTTATCATCATAAATGTAATTGATTTTTCATTGGTTTTTATTAAAGAAATGAATCTAGAGTTTTTTTTTTTTTTTTTTTTTTTCATAATGGTTAGGATAGGTGGAACAATTTAATAAAAGTTTGGATCTATTTAATATTTTCTTATTTATATATAATTGATCTTCTATTTTTTGATATAATCAATTGACTATTGATTATATAGGATATTAGAGGATATTGAATTATAGAAGAATAGGCTATGATTAGTTGATGTGTGTAAAGCTCTAATTGACCATTTATTCATAAGAGGAGGGGCACTTTGGCTACTCTAATGTATATAGTATTTTATGATATCATTAATTGTGTATCAAACTTTCTCTTTTTAGTGTCTCTTGCTCTTTCTAATCTTACTTTCTTCATCTCTTTGTTTCTCTCTTTCACTAATTTTGTCTTTCTTTGTCTTTTTTTTTTCCAATTTTACTTTTTTTCTCTCTTTTGTCTCTTTTTCTTTCTTTCTTTTTTCTTATTTTCTTTCACTGCCATATTCTATTCAACATTTCAAAGATACTTATCAATAATCAAAGGCTCAAAGTTTGTCAAAAAAAAACAACTAATCTATTGATGAATCAAAAAGATCTAGTAGCATAGGCAACAAACTATTTTAATCTCTAAAAATCTCCATTATAGAGCGATATCAATTCAATCATCAGTAAGCGCATGGAAAATGAAAGCCTTGACTTGTTGTACTATTTACAAAATACCAACAATTTCTAATACGTCTAGACTTTGATGAAGTGTTAACTAATTGGATACTCCAATGTCAACATTAAGGTATTGTATCCATCAATGAGATAATAGAAGAGAAATGAAGTAAGTTTGCACCTCTTCTAAGCATTAGAAATCTTTCAACATTCTCCAATGGCTAGGTACAAAAGTTTAAGCAACAACATGGATTTTAAATATTTAAATTGTACGATGAAGTTGCTTTCATAGATATTGTTGGAATTGACGCATCACTTTTATTTCAAAAAGCTAAGATCAAACAATATGCCTTGCAAAAAGTTTATAAAATACCTAAAATTTTATTATTTTATTACCTTTCATATAATAAATGATTAGTACTCATCAAATTGTAAGCATGAAATGAGATAAGACAAGGATTATATTTGTTTTAACATCCAATAAAAATGGCTAAAAGAAATTAAACTCCTTTTATATTGGCTATATATAAAAACTTTACTATTTTTTAAAAAAAATTGATAAATAACTTGGCTTATATTACCATGGAAAAAAAAAAAAAAAAAAAAAAAAAAAAAAACATGGATGATTAATTAGTTGTTGCAAGAATGGCTAGAAAAAGTTGACAACAAAATAGAAGATGAAAATTGAAAGATTTTATTTCTTTTGGACAACGCATCTTTGCACATTTTGGAGAATATTGAATTATCAAATATTGAGGTGTTATTTCTACTACTAAATACCACCTCAAAAATTGTCAAGGACATAAATCTTGAAGAAAGAATATCCTCAATACAATCTTGTGTCACTGAAGAGAACTAGAAAGTCACTCAAAAGGTAATGTAATATTCAACTAGAATGACTATTGCCAAAAACAAGAAGACTAGAAAGTCTTGAAACAAGGCTAAAGACTAAAAAGGCATTGAAAATAGTGAAGAAGGTTTTAGTCTTACCTCCATATATACTCTTAACTAGAAGCTACATGGCAATATCCTATAGGACCTCCAAAACGTGTTGTCTTTGCAAGACAAGTATCTTAACTTGGAAAGTAATTTTTTTATATGTGCGCCACATGGTTTGCTTCTTTTGCAAGCTACTAACACGTGATTAATTTATTGACTAAGTTTCTAACCTATTAATTAACTACAAACACATATAAAATCAAGTAGCATCTATGAAGCTTTTAGAAAGCTTTTCTAAAAGGTCTTATGAAATTAATCTACTTTTATCTATTTTTATCTATTCCTATCTAATTATATAGGTATTTATTAGAATACCTATATATATATATATATATATATATATATATATATATTTGTGATATTACCTCTCCTTCTAGAAACAAGTTCCATAAGGTGCAATCTTCATATGTTGAGAAAATCTAAGATGCGGAAAATTATATTTGCCACATACCCCGATCTTTGTTCTCTTCGAAGATGGTTGATAGGCCCTCTCAACCATCGATAGTGTTCCATATTAAGGCAAGAAGACCACCCTATTATTTATTCGTTGTTGAAGCCTTCATAACTTCCTTTAAATAAAATATTTGGAATATCGTCATGACTTGTTTCTACCTCTAACAAAATCACCAAACATTAGAAGTCTCTTCTAGAGTTGTGATACCAAACACATTGTATCTCGTCATCCATTTGAGGAAGGACATGTCATTCTTGAGGATCTTCATATCAATTTTATCATCTTAAAGGTTGTGACAATTACATTGTTTTGTCTGATAAGTATGTAAATGAAAGCTCTTCAGTTGAAACTACTAGTTGTTGATTTTCCATCTCTTTAGTATCACATTTACATAGAAGCTACAAAAAAAGATGGAAGGTAGAGTATTATCTTCCTTCAAGTTTGTTTCTTTTATAGCAAAGATTTGCCATTCTTCATCTTGGTTTTGATGGATGTTGTCGATGAAAGGCTTCAACTCTCTTTACTACATTTACAAGATTCTTTGATGGCTCCTATATGTATTCACTAATATCATATCCACTCCATTGAATAGAATATTCTAATCTATTTTGGTACCGCCTTGAGTCTAAGACTTCTTTTGCCTTGAATTCTTGATTATTATCCACTTCTATAGGAAGAAGTGGTATTTGTCTGCTTCTCAAGATATTCACTGTCTTATATGGCTCAAAAATGGACATATGAAATATAAGGTGCATCTTCATAGACTCCAATA